ACGCGCTGCCGGCACGAGGTGGAGCAGGGCTGCGCCGTGCTGCGCGCCACCCCGCTGGCTGACATGACCCCGCCAGCTGCTGCTGGAGGTGTCGCAGGGCCTGTCGCGCAACCTCAAGTTCCTGACAGACGCGTGCGCCCTGGCCAGCGACAAGTCCCGGGACCGCTTTTCCCGCGAGCAGTTCAAGCTGGGCGTCAAGTGCATGAGCACGAGCGCGTCGGCGCTGCTGGCCTGCGTGCGCGAAGTGAAGGTGGCGCCCAGCGAGCTGGCGCGGAGCCGCTGCGCGCTCTTCAGCGGGCCGCTGGTGCAGGCGGTCAGCGCCCTGGTGGGCTTCGCCACCGAGCCGCAGTTCCTGGGTCGCGCGGCGGCCGTGAGCGCCGAGGGCAAGGCGGTGCAGACCGCCATCCTGGGCGGCGCCATGAGCGTGGTGTCGGCCTGCGTGCTCCTGACCCAGTGCCTCAGGGATCTGGCGCAGCACCCGGACGGGGGCGCCAAGATGTCGGACCACAGGGAGAGGCTGAGGAACTCGGCCTGCGCCGTGTCTGAAGGCTGCACCCTGCTATCTCAGGCTTTAAGGGAGAGGTCTTCGCCCAGGACTTTACCGCCAGTGAATTCCAATTCTGTGAATTAGCAACCCCCGGCCCCACCATCCCTTTCTTCCACCCCCAGGCTGAAGGAAGATACTTATTCTTTATCCCTCTCCATTTATACCAAAGAAATCAAAGGTGAAGCTTCCCCCCAACCCCCTCCCGCCCCCCCCCATGTTAAATGCGCGAGAAGAATCTTCCAGAAGGCAGGGCCATGCCTCCCATTAACGCACGCACTCGGAGGGCCCCGGTACCCACCAGCGCAGACACAGTAGGGACCAGGAGATGGAAGATGTGTGATCTGCTGGTTGCAGAATCACCCCCAACCCCTCCCCCAGCTCCTCTTCCGGAATTCCTCAACTAAATTTTATTAATTGGGCAGGAAGGAGGTCATGGGTTCATTTCTTTTTTGGTCTCCCCACCCCCCTAATTAAAAGAAAGGTTACCTCAGTTTTCACTCCTTAGACATGGATGTAGCTACCTTTTTTGTATGTTGTTATTTTTTTAAGCAATCGTGTTGGATTAGGCGTATATTTGGTATGGAAAGAGTATGACATTGCCATGTGATTTGCAAACGGGGGGAAAAGCTACTGTGAGTGTGTGTTTTATTTTTTAATTTACACTATAGAGTGATTTTTTCCCCCCTAATGTCAAGTTTTTACCTTGCATGTACTGGAGTATTTATTTCATCTATTAAAATGTTATGTTTCTCAGATGGCTTTTGGCAATTATTGTTGATTTTCAATAATTGTAATGTTGCAGGCTGCATGTCATCTATGGAAAGGCACCCTGGAAAGTGCTGCCGTAGCAGTGAGGTGGGTACCCAATCCGCAACCCTTTCTTCTTCCTCAAGAGTTGCTTGTTTGAACAGCCTAAAATTCAAAGAGAGCTGCGTGTAACACTCCTTGTAGAGGCAGGGGGCACAAATGTGGTTGAATTAAGTATAGTGCAAACTGGACTGTTAATGAGGGTTTTTGGTCTTGCTTCTAGTTTCTCCTGGAATGTGATTGAGCTCCCTTTGTCCCCACGCCTCTTTCTGTCGTAATGAGCAGGGTTCAGGCTGACAGAAGTTTGATTTGTATTCCACCTGTCTTTTTCAGATTAAGGCTCTTCCTACACCTGTGTGGAATGCCAGCCTTCCCAGGTCAGAGGATCTGTGTATGGACGTGCAAAAGGACTGTGTATCAAGTGAGAGTATGTAGACAGGTCTATGCAGACAAGATCCAGGTGCTCATGATTTCAGAAAAATACTGTAGAGGAAGGTTCCAGACTGTTTAATAGAGGGAGAGGTATTCTGGAAAGTGTGTTAAGAACTTTCCAGAGCATGATTGCGGGCAAAGGGCTTCTTTTTGTGACCTTGATCTAAGATACGCCTTCGTTGACTGTTACGTTGGGAGAAGGTTTTGTTAAATGAAATTCGGAGTTATTTTGAAGTAGTTGGTCTTTTCTGCAGACAATTAAAAAAAAATCTTGGGGGAGAGGGGTGTATAGTTTTGCTGAGCATAGCTAACTGAGTTTTGAACATTTTCCCACTGAAAGTACAACAGGTTTATTTGTGTGCTTATCCCGAGAGAACCACATGGGTAAAACTCATACATGCTTTAAATTTGCTCCGTTTACATTTTTCTGGGGATTTGTTGTGCCTGAACCTTTGCAAGTCCCACAAATCTGAAAAGAAAGATTTTTCCACTGTGATATGTTAGAGGAGAAAGTCATAGTGGCTGTTTTTACTTGAATAATTATACTAATTACAAGAACATCGTATTCAGCCTGTAAAACCTCTTTAAACCTGTGTTGGGTGGTACAGCTGTTAAGCTTCTCTGAATTTGAAGTTTGAAAAAGTTTTAAAGTGGTAGGGTCTATGCATTTTTTAAAAAACAGTTAAGGGAGTTGTTTTTTTTCTCATAGGTCCTGGTGAATTTAAATTTTTGAAGCCTTTAAAAGATGAAAATGATCTTTAATGTTTATTCCTCTCCCCCTGCCCTTCGTTTAAGTCTGTATTGGTCAAGTTCAGGAGGTATTTGAGGAGAGGAAACCTAACCCATGCGCCAGTGACAATCCTGCTTATGTATAGTTATTTTTACTTACTTTTGTTTATCGGATTTACGTAAATAATACTGAAGTGGTTCCTTTAGCCTGTGCAGATCACAAAAAGTAAACTGAAAGGAACAAAGTAAAATAAAATCAGAACCAGAAACCTGCAAATTTGGTGTCTGATTAGGAAAAAAAGAACTGCCAGTTGTTCCTTGGACTCTTCCCTTGCAGAAGCAATTTTCAGGACAGTGCAAGCCAGAAAAGAAAAAAAAATCACTTTCCCTATCTACTTGGATGAAGTTAACTAGCTAGTCACCAAATTAATTTTGAAACTTTCCTTTCTCTTAGCCAAGGGATAGTTGCTCTTAACATTTCTATTAAAGGTTTTGACTTGAAATCAAAATCCTGTCCTCTGAAGTTGTTAAAATGTTCAGTGGTGTGTTAACCTCTTTTTTTCCTCTCTCTGGCTCTGTGATAAGTTTAGGATTTTTCATCCAGCAGGTGGCTTGAAATGAATTCTGCTTTTATTTTTTTCAGCAAGTTTCAGGAAACCAGAGTGCACAATGTTTCTGTGTGTCTGTATCATTAGCTAGACAAGGGATTTGGGCACAGGTCTCTGATATTTTAACTTTCTTCCAGTGTATCAGGTTGTTAAACTTGTTTTTTAAATAGCCCTGATTTCTTTAAAAAGAAGTATCTCAGACCTATTTCATTGGGTTTAATAAGGGCAGCAGAGATAATACTGGTTCCAGGAATAAAATCAGAGTGGCCTCATTAAAAAAAAAAGTTATGTGACACTAGAGTTAATTTAAGATGGCAAGCCTTGGGCTCTCCTGACTTCTGAGGGCAGGTTTTCTTACGCAGGCTTAATGGGCACCATCCTGACTGAGGATGTTGAAAACCTTCCTTTGAATGGTCATGAGAGAAGTAAATCATTATGGCTGTGTTCTCGGAACAAAAGCCATTATTTATGACAGTCAACCAAAGTAATGGGACAAAAGGCTTTCAAACACAAGACTTAACTAGAAAAAAGCACAGCTCTGTCTTTCCTTGGCTGTTTAAACTTGGCCTTTTTCTATTATTCATTCTGGGTTGATGTTAGAAAATGCAGAAAATTACGTGTGTGTGTGTGTGTGTATTTTTCTCCCCCACCCTCATCTCTACCCCAGTTTTGGTAAAATTTAAGGTCATATTTCTTTAAAAAATCACTAAAGAGTTTATAGTTCTGGAAGCATCACTTTCATTTGGTTGGTTATTTTACATAACGCTGTTTTTTTTTAAGCCAGCATAGGGATCTAAAATATTTGACAGTTTGAAACAGCTAATTTTAACAGAAGCACCTGTTTTTTCGGAATGAATGTGACTATGGTAACATGCAGATCAGGCAGAGGATTTGAAAAACGCCTGCCAAAGCCCCTTCTGAGCTTTACTCGGTAAACAGGAGAGCAGTTAGAGAAGAAATCCATTTAAAGCCTCGGTAGCACGTTTGCCTTTGGGGCCGTCCCCTGGCCCCTCGGTGCCTGGGTTTCCAGTACCTGGAGGAGCCGTTAAGGAGACCATCTCTGGGCTTCCAATGTGGACACAGATACTTGTGTTCCCTCCAGGCAAATTCTTGTCTTGATTAAAAAAAATTTTTTTTTTTTTTGCATATGAGTATGTGTGAAATGAATTGTCCTGTTTTACCAAAGTAGGGTTTTCGTTCAGGGTGGTTTGGATAGATGGCTAGTCTGCTTCCACGTCAGGGGCAGAGGCTCAACGACTGAGCTGTTCCGATGCTATAGAGAAGTATGATGACTCGTATCTGTGCTTGCGGTTGATTTAATTTAACTGTAAAGCGCCTTTGGCTCAGAGGCTGCAGTGCCTGGCATGTGTGCATGTAGTTTTTTTTAAGTGAATGTGTGTTTAAGACGCCTACAGCAAGTGTACCTAAGCAAGTCAGAGAATTGTTTCTGGAAATGAGAGTTACAATGGGCATTCATTCAACACGTATTTCCTGGGGGGCCACCTGTGTGTGCTAGCCACTGTGCAGGGCCCAGGGCTGCAGCCCAGAGTGAGGCGTGGTTCCTCCCCTCGCAAAGACTCGGTGCTGCTCCAGACTTGGTTAGTGGGCCGGCAGTAGCCTCAGCAGCAGCATCCTGGGCCTGTTTCTAGGAGAAACTCTGGGGTGGCGCACTGATTCGGATGCAGGCCCAGTCTGAGGGACTACTGGGCTGCAGGGCCTGCTGGTTTCTTTGTGTTCCCTCCTGACCCTGTAAGACCAGAGTGCTTCTGTGGCAGGAGGCAGCAGAGTTTCTGCAAGTTTCTTGTTTGCTCAGGTGTTTTTTTTCCCTCCTGAATATTTTGAGCCCTTTTCTTCGGGTAGAAAAGATAATTTAGTCTCTCCGGCCAGTTTAGAATCAGCAGGTTGTGTGTGTGTGTGTGTGTACACAACTACAGAGCTCTCCCTCTCTTACCTCTCCTTGGAGATGAACTGCAGTTATATAAAAGTAAGCTGGCAACTTAGCTCTGTGTTTTTGCATGTTGTTGACTTTAGTCCTAGAAAGCTGGAACTAGCAGACAACCTAATTAAAACCCAACTCATTAGCTCTTTGGCTGCCCAAGAAAGCATTTTGCTATTAAGTTTCTTAAGTACTCTATTCAGAACCAAATGAAGCATACAGACTTATCCAGGACTCATTTTCGGGATAGCCAAAGTTTGCAATATACTCAGAAAATATGTCCTTTAAGGCCAACCAGGCACCAAGAATTAGGATGATCTTCTGGGGCCTCCCTACTCACAGTGGTGGTCCTGGGAGCTGGCTTTGGCATCACTGAGGAACTTGGTAGATAGCAGAATCTTGGCCCTTCCCCAGACCTACCCAATAGAATCTGCTTTGGCAAGATTTCCAGGTGATTTCCGGGCACATTAACTCTAGGAGATAATATGTAGTGGCCATGACCGGATCACTGCTTGACTCTTTACTGTGGGAACGGAGGCATTTATTGTGTTTATTTAGACCTTTTCAGTTTATAAAGTGCGTTCACGTATGTTATGTAATTGGGTCCTAGTGCAGTCTTGTAAAGGAGGCAGGTATTACTCACTCTGCGTATCATCTAAACATTTGTACTTCTGTTTTCCTGCTGTAAAAGTTAAATATTTATGATGAGTTCCCATGGCGTGCAAAACCCTGTGATGAGTTCCATAGACTAATTCTGTCTACCTAGAAGGTCTTCGAAAGTATGATCTGAAACACTCTGTGTTAAGTCAGTTTCTCCTAATCTTGCTTTTACCCCTCCAGGTAATTTGACACAGCAGATAAATTGTGATACCCTCAAGGATGGCCCAAATAAAGAGCATAGCGTTGTCTTCTAAGTCTTCTGTTACTCTACATGGCAAGCCTATCCAGGTTCTCAGAAACACTGGATGTCTTAAATTCTTAAAACCACAACGTCAAACTTCCGGGAAGCATTTAAATGCCGATTTAGATTTGTTAGCATAATTTAAAAATGAATCCATTCACTGACTTCAAACTGCATTCTAGGTATTCAGTAATAACATACGTGTATCCAGATTTATGCTGAAGTAGGACACAGAGAGGAAACTTTACAAAACCCTGTGTTTCAGGAAGTGAAATATATATGTTGTGTATTCAAGGTTAATGAGCTTGTTACCCTGAAAAACTTCCACCAAATTGCACTGCGTCACCTAAGTGTTAATATGTAATAGTTTGCCTTTGTTCTAATTTGCCTAGGTTTTAGATGGTGCTCAAGGTACTGATCAAGTGAAAAAGTTGTTGCCTTGGTTATAGGAGACCTGGATTGATGTGAAACCTCTAGAAATTAGGAAATTGTAGGAAACCTAGGTCAATTTAGTGCTTACTGATGCCTTTTCCATTTCAACTTTTTTTGGTGGCCATCAGTCCTGTTCTAAAATGAATGAGTAAGTTATCCAGACACCTTCCTTCAGACAGAATTTTGGTATAAAAATTTTCCTCAAAGTTTCCTTGGAGGTGAGGTTTTACTTTAAATATTCCTTCTCTGGTAAGTTCCATGATAAAGTGGTTTCTAAAAACATAAATATGATCCTAGTTTTATTATCACTTGGGATCTAATTTTTAAGATGTGTAGGCA